AGCACAAAGCTGGCATTTGCTAACATTTTACAAAAGATAAACTTGAAAAGATTTGATTCAGCAAAGTACTCAAACGTTAAATCCCATTTCATTGATACCAGAGCAAACTATACAAACTCACACACATTTCTTTGCATCAATTCCTAAATATAACTGAAAGCAGAAGATACATATCTAAATGCCTAAAAACCCCTTTTAAATACTGAAAAACAATAATATGAACCCTTCTGCAGCAATTTTTACACATAGTCAAGTGAAAACATTTTGACTGATTTTTTTTTAGAATGTTATTCAATTTTAAAATGGCTTGTTTTTGAAATACAGCAGATGCTGAAATCTTAATAGGGTATCACTGTACATGTTTAACCTCCTTCTATATAGTCTCAATGTTCCTTTCTAAAAGGAGAGATTTACAGGGGAATTAATAAAATGTTTTGGTTTCAGTCTTGTGGATAAGACAGCATTACCAGAATGGCCTTGAAACGTGTTTACTTTAAAAAATATTTTTTTCCCCATACATACATCCATGTGTATGCACAGAGGCACAAACATGCATGTTTATAAAGGCCCAGTTGTCTACCAAGCTTGCTGTAGCTGTAAATGCCTCTCAGAGAACCATATAGAACCATAGCTGCATACCTCATAACCAAACCAGTATCATCAGGAACTTCCTCTCACAACAGCTTTGATAGAAAGCATGATCAATGTAAAAGATTAGAAGCACACTTAATCTTTCCTTCTCCTGATATTTGTTCACATAATAATAGGCTATCTAGAAAGCACTGTTTGTTTCTCTTTCCTGGATGTAGCTCAGGAGATAAACGAAGCTGTGAGAGCTCTAAAATACTAGAAGAGGATAACTACTAAAACACTAGTTTTGTCTCCTGGTACACAAATACCTTTGTTTTTTTCTTTTAAGAGCTTAAGTCTAGAGCTTATCAAAGTTATGCTTTGGGTAGAACCCAAATCTCTGACACAAATCATGTGCTGCTATTCAAGGGAGCTAGAAAAAATCAAGGCAGAGTTCAACTCGTAAAAGAACAAAATAAAATCATCCTTTAACACAGCAGTTCCAAAATCATATAGATTTGTATGAGGAGGTTTAAAGATGAACCATCACTAGATTGTGCTATCTTTACTTTTGCTAACCAGCTCTGACTGGTAGTAAGATGTAAGGTGACTTTACCAGCAGTGAAGATACTAGAAATGTCCTGAAGTACACAGGATGCAATGCCATGAAAAGTCAGCAATCCAGCCTTTTGTAAGAATTAGATCTCTAAAGAGCATCTCAGAAATTGTTTGGCACCTAAAAGTCTTGAATCCCTTAATAATCCCAGCTCACTACAACACAGATCACAGGCCCAGGGCAAGGGAAATAGCTGTAATTGCTACATTCCTAGGACTCAGCAGTCTTGTTCACAGTCTAAGCAGATACACTAGAAATATGGCCCTTCTTCATCCACTTCTTTCATAGATAGAATTTGTTTATGGGCAAACACAAGAAATAAGCTGTATTCTTAAACCTTGTGTCAAGGAATACCAAGGACACAAGAAACAGACAACTGCTCTGTCATGATGCTCCTATTCTGTGAATAAACAAAGAATGAAGATTCTGAGGTTTTCTGATCTGGTATACTTCAGTGGCTTTGTACTTACTGCCAAGATTTTAATTAAAGAGAAGCCGATATAATGTCTCACCCTCTGTCTACATTATCATTAACCTGCTTTCTTTACAAAATAAAGGCACTGAAGCAGAGTTTATTTTTTTATTATGCTATTAATTTAATTCTCTTGGATCTTTTACCTTTCTTGCACAGATTAGTTGCCTGCATTACTTTAGTCTCATCTCTCCCGAGAGGTGATGCATTAGGTGAGTTATTTTTAATAATGCTGTTGCTGTCAAATGCTTGCTTGTGAAATTTTTCTAAAGCTTCTGCAGCACTTAAAATCCCTACCACAAGAGAAAAAGTTGGCACATCCAGATCTGGAATGGTGTTCAGAAGGATGCTATCAATTTAACCGTTTTAGTAGTTATCCTCTTCTAGCATTTTAGAGCTCTCACAGCTTCGTTTATCTCCTGAGCCACATCCAGGAGGTACCATTTTCTCTCTTAAAGCATATAAAAACAGAAGTAGAGGACTGAAAAAGAATGACCACAGAAGAAATCAAAGGAAGCGTACCAGAGAGAAGGGAGCATGCAAGATTAAATGACGAGCTGAATGGAGATGAGCTGAGAACAGATGATGAGAATAAGAAAATGGAATGTAATGCAGCAGCGTTGTGGAAATATTGAAGACAATTTGGAAAAACAAACAAACAACAAAAAACAACAAACCAAACAAAACCACACCCCAGGAAATAACTGGAATGTGGAAACAAGACAATATTAAAAAAATATTTCCTCACATTGCTGATTGGTTGTAAGTAGTGATTTTTTTTGATTGACTGATACTCTGTAAGTAGGACTGAGTTTGGGTTATTCCTTACTTGTCCTTCAGAAGTCACGTATCCTATAGAGCAAAACAATCCCATTAGATTCTGTTACCTTCCCCACACCTTATCAGATCTTAGTTCTCTGAATCCCATTCCCTTTCTCTCTTTCTTATAGTTCCCAAAACTATGTTGAGTACCCCACAATAAGAAAATGCTCTGGAAAATCACAGCATGGTAATTTAGACAAACATGCCTGATATCAAGCAGTACTATTTCACTTCTGTGCTGGTCATGCAGAGGCACAAACTGAACTAGTGCTAACAGGTCACTCAAAATGGATCTTACATAAGAAAAGCTACAAAGCCTGCACACAAATATGTGTTTGTCCTGCTGCAGGCAATTTCAAAGTTTTCTGTTGTTTATTAAATGTCACATGGAACAGATCAAAATACAGAGTAAAGGTTTTTTAATCAAAATGAATGGAGGAAAAATGCATATCTGTGCCCCATGGTCTGGGACTAGATGCATATACATTGACATATCTGAGGAATAAAGCTCTATACATTAATCTAGAAGAGCAAAGCTTGTCCTATGGAGTGTCTCAATACTATGTCATAATTGATTAGTACTGTTATCACAACGTTGAAAAAATAAGAGATTTTTTTCCCTGATTTTTCCCAAAGAACATTACTGTGCATATTTGATCCAAGCTATTTCAAAACTTAGTCACAGTTTCTTCCACTTCAGGTTTCTGGAAAAAATATGTAAACTTACAGCGTTCAAAATCCTAAAGTAATTCAGCTGCAATACGAAAACCAGAAATTAAGTATCTATATAATTTGAATAAAGGCACTTTTCAAATAGTTACAATTCATTTTAAGAATACACTTTTGTTCACATATGCATAATCTGAAATTAACACCTTCTAGAAATTCCAGGATATTGGGTGCATTTACAGTGTCGAATAGTGAAGTGCAAAGAAGGAGGGGTGGGGGCTTGATGTGCTGCTGCACTCCACTCTGGCTCCAGGACCACATGTCCACAACAAAGTTCACGCCATGTGCCAACCCTAGGCACGCACTGTGCACACAGAGTGCGCTCGCGCCTGTGTCCACCCCACAGGCAGAGTAGCCTGAATGGCACGCCAGCACACGACTTCAGACTGGTTCCAGCAGGAAGGAAAGCATGATGCACTCCAGTGCATACAAGAAGCCTTGTACAAGCAATACATGAATTCGTATCCAAAAGATCCCCTCTAGCTCACATCACTCACCCCTAGTGAGCTGCAGTTCTTATTCCAGCTCTCATCATCATCAACGATGCCATCAAACACAGAGGCTGTGCCATTTTGACAGCATGCTCAGCACAACTTCCACTCTGATTTCTGTGAGGAGAGGTGGCACCTGTCAACCTGAGTGACAAGTCATCCAAAACTTTAAGCGTTTCTCTGACACCAATTCCTTCTATGAAGTTTAACAAATAACTGCTTCAGCTTTCTCCTGGTATAAAGTGAGGAATTATACCACAAAAAGGAAAATGGGCCAGAAGGAAGTACATGCCAGAGTAATTAAGTTATTTGATAGATCTTAAGAAAGCAGCAACTCTCTTCTGAGTAGTTTCATAATACTTCACAGGTTCAGAAGTCTCTCCATATGCAGCAGGACCCACGGGAATCACTGCTTATAGCTATTTTTTGTAGTGGCAAAAACATATGTTCATCAACCATGAAGGAGTTAAAACAAGATAAACTGTAGAGTTACACTGAAAATTGTAATAAATTATGACCCAAAGGCACACAAGCCAGTGAGAGTTAGAAGCTTCCGAGGGTCATGCGAGTCTCAAAGTTAAGCAAAGTACTATCAAGTCTAAACCCTGCTGTCACATATTCTGAAGATTTCCTAGGAAAAGTACTTGGCTGGTTTCCTAAGTCTCTAGTTTTCAGTGCATATTACAAGATACTAAATGCATATCCAACTTAGATCAGCTGCCTTCTTTGTTTTCCCTCTGGGACTATTAAGGATGTGCCAGTGGCTACAAAATCTTGCTTGAAAGACTTAAAGCAAAGTCCTGGTCAAATATTAAGCTTCATTCATCTTCTTCCTGTGATCCTTAAGCAAAAGAGGATTCTGGAAGAATCTTCTGGGAGGCATAATAAAGACCATGCAAGAAATAACAGAGTTGATAAATCATTTATGAAAAAAGTAAAGGGAGAACATTCCCAAATGCCAATGCAAGAAGCATTTCCACTAAGATATGAAGCATAATAAATATACTCAGTTTTAAAACAGATGATTAGATAACTGCCACACTCAAGAACGTGTTACAGCACGAAGATGTGAATTATGACTGGCAGAAAGCAAGCAATCCAGTGGCCATTTAGGCAGTTTCCTTAAGAGGCAAATTTCTCACTGAGAAAATAGCAGTCCATCTATTTAATATGATACAACTCAGCGGATGAATTCAAGCTGCTTGAGAAACAGCCTCAGGACTTATTGAAAAAGACTACTGTGCTTTATTAAATAATGAACCATGCACTTGTCTTTTTTCATCAAATGAGTCGACTGATGTTCATTTAATACTGTACACCCATAGCAATCAAGAGACGGGGTTTTATTTTTATTTTCTGAATTTTCTTTATCAAAGCTTTTTTTCCACAGGGAGTAGAGTAACGATAGTGTCTTAGAAATCTCATTCTTATGAAGCTCAGTTCTTGCAGTCTCAGACGGTATGCTTTAGCATACTCACACTAATTTCAACAGTCTTGCCAGTTGACTCCTATAAAGGATCCAGCCCATGATGTTACAAGGTCATGTTAACTCCAGATAAAAACTTCTCTTTCAAAGTGTTGGCTGCTTTCAAATACAAGATTAAGCCTTTGGGGTTAAAAAGTTACCACAGAAATTGATGTCTGGTTACCATCTCTGGAACTTCATACATCCAGTGGATATTCAGGAGTTAATTATTTGCAGCCTCAGCATCAATTCCTGTCACAGTTAATGAAAGACTTCATATTAGTAATGTTGGCAATATGTAGTAACAGTTACTTGATTTCTCCAGACAGTGTTACATGAATGGAATTCTTCTTGCCTTTATACACGTGCTAAATGGTGATTTTTACAGAACAAAATTCTTTGTTGGGTACATTTAGGTTTGCATGTTTAAGAATTATTAAAATTCACTGAACTCTACACAGTTAGTCATGACACTGTGTAATTATTTCCCCTTTGTCTTACCCACTCTCAGCCATTATGATTTTGCACACATTAAAACTTCCAAATAAATCACAAGTGTATACATAAACTGAAAGGAATCAAAGGGATTTTGTTTGACCTTCAGTACTTTGTAAGTAAAACAAGTTAACACACCTAGGAAAACCACAGGAATCAGATGACAACCTAGAATTAGGATTAGTACTTACTTTGCTGATGTGTTCAGATTCTGAGGTTTGTTAGTAACAAGTCTGATCCAAGCTGTGCTTAAACCAATGAACAGAATGTCTTCTTCCTTTAGAAGCATTTTGGATCTGGCTCTATATTCTCTGTGAAGAAAGAAGACCACCATTTCTTACTGTCTCTAAGCAGAACAAGATAGAGCAGTCCTCTACATTTATCAGTGAGAATTAACTTGACAGAAAGACATTAAGGGTTTTGTTAACAAATCAATAAAACAACTGTGATATCAAGATGCAACCAGTAGTAAGGCTAGAAATCCTTCTACAATTTTTTCCTGTAACGTGCTTCTCCGCACTGTACAAGCATAAGGTCTGTAGAGTGAATTATTCAAAATTGACTGAGCCTTCTTTCAGAAGGAACCTCCCAGGAACCTAAAAGAGAATCAGGGACAAGATCACACAAACAGACTTGACCTCTTTCCTGCTTACAATTCATAATTTAGCTATAGTGCCAAACAGCAAACCAGACTTAATATTCTTCCTACGAGGATTAAACGAATAAGTATAATTAGTAAAACTATAATTACCAGTGCAATGTTCCCATTACAGCAATAAAGAGAAACTGTCTGTAGAATAAACTCTAGTTTCCTTCCTTCCAGGATAACCAAAGAAATGAGAAAACTGTGAATAATTCAGGATTCTACTTGCTTTATGTAAAAAAGGGCCCTGCATGTAAATTTCAGATGAATCCCCCATTCACTGAAAAATCAACTCATTTACTTTCAGGATAGTAAATGGAGAAAATAATTTCCTTTTAGACTACTGCACTGTATGCCTACTTTGCATCCTGTTGAACACTCAGCGAAGGATCAACTGGCATAAACATCTCAGCCCCTTATCCCAAAGGTGTGAACAGCACTGTTAAGAGCCTTCTTCATCTCTTGATTTTGATTTTTCATGAAATAAGCATACCTGCATAGACAAGACTGTAAAAAATTAGACAGCACAACATATTAAATAATAAACAAGGTTAATTAGATCACATTTGAATACCACTTTTTGTAACTCCAGTGAGAGGAAAGGAATAGAGAGACAAGGTCTTTGATGCTTTTGTCCCTGAATCTAATTCTATTAAGTCATTTACTCTCTTTCAGACAGCTACCAAAAAGAAAAAAGGAAGCGCATCCCACATGATGCATGATTACCATAGTTTTAAATTTGTCCTGAAATAGAGTTTTACAGCACACATCAAGGAAAGCAGCAAACGACTTGCTACCACATCCTGGTGTCCTATTACAGCAATCACCAAACTGGACCAGGCATAAGAATGATCTGCTCTACATCCCATCTCTGACAGCAGGGCTGGCCAGCTATATCAGAGGCAATTACAGAAGCCTGTCCAGTTGGGATACAGTATTTTTGCTGATGAATTCTTCAGTTCACATCTCTGCAGGGTTTTACATTAGAAACAGGCATCCTGTGATGTGCCTTAACTATTAAACTGTTATGCAAGACGTGGCTGCAACTGTCAATATAGCTGTAGAATATTAAGTGCCATCAGTGCAGTCCCAGAGAGTTAACCCTGATCTGACCACAGAAAGCCTTCCATTTTTTTTCAGGATTAAGGTCACATAATTCTCTTAGTCACAGTGGAGATTTGTCTTCTCCATGTCTACAACTCAAGGTGATTCCAGCTATGCCCAACAGCCCTTACTTCCATCCCCAAAAACAGTCTTGCTTCCAAATGAATGAGTCTTGTCACTTCTGTTAATTTTAAGTGTATTGAGGAGTATAATCTTGTTTACCAACAGTCTGAATTAGTCTTAGAAACTCTGACACCTAAACTTTTCTTAGCGTCCTATCATTGGTAATACAGCCTATTATCTGTTGCTGTAGCATTGGGATGCATGCGGGATCTAAGATAACATACATTTTAGCAGTACAGGAAGTGAGAGGCATTAGTTCAGTCATATCATTACTTCCTTTGGTTGCAGTCACTGCAGTTTAATTTTTTTCTTTAAAACATTTAAAAATATCTGGATTTGGGGCAAAACTTGAGTTTTCACAATCATGATTTTAATCTGTTTTGCAAATATCTGTGCTCACATGAACATAAAATGTCATTAAATGTCTGAAATAGTTTCCCAACTACAAGATTCCTTGATGCAAAGGTTATCATCTGCATCTTATAACAAAAGTCACGTACAAACTTAATTCATGGGAGAGCATCTGAGAATGCATCCCATCAGTGTGGTTTTTAACATGTTGTAACAGCAATCAGCAGCACTTTCAAAGTTTCTGCTGCTTGTTCAAAACCAAACAGAAGAACAACTGTCTTTTGGCTGAGAAGGGCACCTGAAAGAAGGTCAAATAATACTTTAATAAATTAAGATTAGGAGGTCTCATCCCTTAATCTCCCCCCATGCAAAAGTGTTGCAGGTAGGAAGGAATGACAGAGGATTTCAGCACGTGTGTATCAAGTGGCAGCTTCTTCAGGCAGGAAAAGGCAGGCGGTACACAACCCATTTCACAGTCAGTATTTTATCTGCAACACAGACTACTTAGAAATTCTACCATACAGATAAGGAAGAAATGGTGGCTGCCTAGGAAAGCTTCCTGTTGTAAGCTGCCTGCAGCTGCCCCATTGTGCATCATCTGCTACCCACTGTCAAATGTTAATGTCGCTTGAGCTATGGAAAAATAGAACAACCAAAAATTATAGGGACATTAACACAGAGAATGAGTCTTAGATGCCCAAAAACACAGAAAAGGACTACTTGGTTGGGGGAGGAGGAGATGAGGGAAATAAAAAAATACATACAAATTCCATTATCTTGTTTCTGTCACTTTTCCTTGTACATGCTTAAGAGGAGAAACAGTCATGTAGAGGCATACATGGTGGATATTTTTTCTTATAAACACATCAGGCAGTCTCCAGAGCATAACTGGACCATTACTCCATTTCAGCCATAGAGCTAAACAAAAAGGCCAGCTGCTTATGGATTTGACTCAGTGAACTCAAAAAGCTGCAGTGAGTCATATGTTCCCTACACTCACTCTGGGGTTGTCATAGTAATGATTTCTCTCTGTCATTTTTCACTTTACCACATGACTCCATGGGATGGACTATGCTTACCTCAGCATGGGTAAACGTCTGTATCTGTGTGTATATATATACATGGTAGGCAAGGGAATGGCATTGCAATTTTTGCTTTTCCCCTCACTCCATTAAAGCATCCCTCCATTCAAACAGCAGCCTGTTACAATTCCATTAGACTTCCTAAAAGAGGTAAGGCATTTGCTATAGGCATATCAGTTGGCCCAAAGCAAAAGAGAAAACCCAATTTACAGGGCCACAATCAATTCATACACCTCCAAAGACGGTAAAATATGTAATTTACACCCACATATGTTCTTACATACTCCAAAGTATAAGTGACTCGCCACTTGCCTTTAGGCATAAATTCGTGATTCTCCTCAGTCTTCTGTAGGAGGCATATCAACTTCACAAACTGCTGAGGATAGCAGCAGCTGGTACAGTTGCACCTTGACTGCGATTCAGGGCCTTGCATTAGTTCACGTGTTAACTGAAAGGAAAACAGTGATACAGGGGGTCAAGATATTTTCTAGTATCATGTTTTTATTTACCCTGTACAGAAAGTCTTAGAAGCAGCACACAGTCAATTCCTTGCAGAAGCCACAATTATGGTGTTAGCCCTTTCAGCAGTTGAATATGCTGGCACTGTCAGACTTTTCTTGTCTTAGCCCCTAACTTTCTCATCTTGAAATTGCCCAGACCAAAGCTACTCATCTTAAAGAATGTATCCTGGGCATAACTGTTCTTCGGAAAAAAGGAACTTCAGGTAGGTTTGCCTGGAGCCAGTTTTTGACTGAAGGAAAGTGCTTATGCAATGCAAATTCTCTCAGTGATCAACAATATACGATTGTTCTGTAGCTTCCCACATGTGAAGATGTCTGGGTTTAACATTGAAGTAAGTTCCATGGTGAAGGCTTGCTGTTCACAATTTTTTTTTCTTAAACTAAGCATTTACTATGGAACTCACAAAAAATGTCTCTTCTGTCCATTTAAAATAAATAAATAAAGCATTAAATTTTCTCTCACTAAGTCTGTTTGCTTTTAACTGAAACAGTTGTGAAATTCCTGTGTCAGTAAAGAAAACATAAGGGCAACATTAGAGAAGCCTAAGGAAAATGGGTTTAGTTACTGAAAGACAGAATCACGCATTTCAGGAAAAGAAAGTGCCTTCTGGATCATATAGCTTATATCCCTAGGCAACAGGATGGTTGCTGCATGGTCTCTATCATGTTTTTATTGATTTTTATTTTTTTTAATACTCCAGAAACACAACATCTCATCAAACCATCCATGATAAATTCCTCTTTGTCCACTTAATTCACTGCAGACTTGGAAACTATTTCTTAATGTCTGTAAACTTTCCCTTCATTTACTATGTTATCTTTAAAATAATTTAAATAAAGTTCCTTTCTTTTCTGGTTGTAAAGTATATTCTGACTTTAACACTAGAGTGGAAGCCACACCAAGTAGCTTTCACGTTTCTCACATGAGAGTATTTGTGATCTGGAGTTCATGAACTGTGCTGTAGTTATATACAATAAATGGTACATCGGCAGATCCTTTTCAGAACGGTGAGCAATCACAGACTTACTTATTATTGAACAAACTCACTCCGAAGTTAATTATTTAATTTTATATATCCATTTTCAAAATATTAGTTGGGAGTTTTCCTGTCATCCTCATTAAAAAATGTTTCCCTAAATACTGAATGTTGCAGACAAGCAAGATTAAAGAGTCTAAAGGCAGTATTCAAAGTCAGACATTTTCAGACCTGGCTGTTCTGAAAGATTTAGAAGCCGCACACTGGCAGTTTACTTCACAAGTGATTACTGGTTCACAAACTGAAAACTACAGTTTCATAGTCACCTACAGTCAGCAGTTAATCTAGTATAATGATGACAATTGTTACAAAGAACGGTAAAGTAAGTGGTAAAAATAGAAAGTGTGTCATTAGCAGGTTGAAGTCATCTAGTCAGGTAGTAGAACACAGCTCAAAGTTTCTACCCTTAAGCAACGATGTTTGAAATTCAGAAAAAAAAAAATTAAATTTCTAAGACTGGAAAAATCAAGTGCGAGAGGGTAAATTACTGAACACCAGCATGGGCTTTCTGTTTTGATCTGAGATGTGCTTACAGCAGATTGCAGTGTCTGGAGCAAGTAGTTTAAATTACAGCTTCATATTTTTGCTTATGAAGGACTTCATCTTTTTGGCCACATATTTCAAGCATTACTGCAAACTTAGTACATGAAAAACACATTATGTCGCATATACAATCAGTCTTAGATACATTCTGACAGAATTAGAGGGGAAAGAGCTCAAGTTGTAGGTGTGCGATTATTGTATTTTTAGCATGCAAGTCATATTGGTTTCTTTAATTGTCTGTTTGCATGAGCAACTTTCACCCAGTTTTGAAAATGTAACCTACTTTTGTTTTCAGGCTTCACCAAATATTGCAGTTTGTATGTTTGTAACCCCCAGTGCAAAGTGTTCCTCCTCTGTTGGCTGAAATTAATAAAATAAAAATTGAACTGTTACTTTTTCTTTGCTGCCTACATTAATCAAACATCATAATTGAAACCTTACAAAACCTGGTATGCAATTAGACTCAAGACACAATAAATGATGACCTAAAATGGTTTTGAGGCATAATCCCCTGAAAGTAAGTATTCCACATAAAGCCCCATAGTCCAAATTTCAGAATTAATTACTTTTGTCATTTGTGACAGGTGTTATGAATCTGAGTTAATTATATTAAGAATGTCTGTAAACAGAGTAGCAGCTCAAAGGAAATACATGTTTTTGATAAAATTTGCCATACATTTTTGAGGCTGAAACACTGGGGAACTAAGCTACATCTACCCAGAAAATTAACGATATACTATTGCCTCCACTGGTTAATATGCTAAAAAGATTGGCTTGTAACAGACTGTCATGAGAAAAGTGATCTGTCTGACTGAACAAGAGTAGTACAAGCAATATTGGTATCTTAATAAGCATACAGCCACCAGTCCTAGAGGAAACAAAAACAAAAAACCCAAAACAATTAAACAAATCCCACTCTGCACATAAGATCTTTTTGAAAGGAATATGTAATGATGTAGTTTCAGCATATACACAGAAACAAGTCAGTCTAGAATCTATCCTGAAATTCCCACAGGGTGCTTGTACATTGGCCATATTTACATGATTTGATGTGTAAAGACCCAATGCATTTTTGGACAGGATTTGGTCTCTTTGCTCACAAAAGATTACATGGTACACCAGTACAAATAGATATATATGTGTAAACCTCTAAGACCTTCACATGGCTATGAAGCACTTTAAAAAAAATGAGACCAAGCATGCAAACAAAGATGCGAGTAAAAGATACTAACAGAGTCTGCCTGCCTTCTTTTTCAGTAACTGAAGATGAATAAGCATTGACTTTCATCCCGTTTCTTATTGCAGAAAGTAGAAAACTATTCATCTCAGAAATATACTTTTTATGAAGTAGCAAGCACAGCTGTCTCAGGAAATGCAAAGTACACTGATTCTGTAGATTATAATGAGTCTTGCTTTGTGAACCTGAAAACACCCCCAATGAAGTGTGTATCTCTCAAACCAGAAACCTTTTCCCAATGTTTTCTTCTCCAAATATGACCTATTAATCCCAGGCTGCTGTCAAGAAAGAGTCTCTCTGCTTTGTTACCATTTGTTTTTCCAACAAATAATTCACAACAAGCTATATGAGACAGCCCATTGAGCAGGCTTACTCATCAAGATTTTCAAATACAAAAGAGCAAACTTCTAGACTCTGTGCTTAAACTCTCTGAACAGCAGAAGTTAATTACATTGTCTCTACCTCAGTGACAAGAAATACATATGTAAAACAGGACACCAAAAATTTATCAGATACATATAATATACTTCAGGGTTGGCTTTTTGCCCTAGGAGCTTCTTTCATAACCACTAAATTTGTCTTCAGAACATGAAACAACAAGCCATTCATACAGATTATAATTCATATCATATGATCTTTCATTCACTCCACTTGTATCCAATCCTAACATATAACAAAGAATTATCCATGGGATGAAGTGTCCAGTTAAAAGCCCAGTCTATTCTTCCAAGCCTATTACTGCTGTTCTATTAGTACAATGAAGTTTGTGTTTTGCAATACTTTTCTATCGAAATTAAATCAGAACTGACTTATTGACTTGTCTGCAAAATATGAACGAAACACCATAATTCTGATTACACAATCTTTTCAATGCTCAATACATATTTATGAAATATGGTGAGTACAGTCTTAAACCACCATTAGTAAATGCAGAAATCAGATTTTAGGAAGGTTATAAATAGAGTGAATCCAGGTTGTCATTTATACTTATTAAATAATACTACTTTCATTACAGGTCAAACAAACCTCCCCACTCAATAACGTAATATTGCTGCAGATCAAAACACTTGCTTAACTCTAGAATCTGTTGGGACCATTGTCTGAGAAGATTCAAAATTCTAAATTCTTCTAGTCCTACCATGGATATTAATAATTTTGAATGTCAATGATCATTATAGATACGGTTGATCAAGCCTCTGTAGTCTTATCATGTCTTAAAGGCTATATACATATACCTACAATTATGTGAAGAGCACCAGAAAACAAACCATTAACCTAAACCATTTTAGGAATACGGGATGAGGGGAATGATGTTTGGGGGTTTGGGGCTGCATCTAGTCTGACAGCCAGATTAGCCTGAGGCAATTCCTATGTCTGTAGCATGTCACAGTGTGTTGCAATATATTTCCTTCTATTGTCTTGCCAGCTTCTCACCTTTCTGATCATCGGGTTTCGGTTTACACACACACACAAAAAATAAAGACCTTACATTTTTTTGTTTGTCTGGGTTTTGTTTTGTTTTGTTTTGTTTTTCTTTTTGGTCAGTCTGTCATTAGGCTTTACCTGACTTTTACTGCTTACTGCACCACTTGAAAATCCATTTAAAATTTCTATTAATATTCATAACACTTTTAAAACCCTAAATATTTCTAACTAATTAATAATTATCTTTGCATCTTTAGACCTGTATCAGACCCCTTTGTTGCCCCTATACTCCATTTCTCATTTGGTGAATGCTATTGATCAGAGGGAACCATCTATACCAACTTCATATAAAGGAGCATGGAGGGGTTTTAAAACAAATCCTTTCGTCCAATGTATTTCTTTAAATTACTTCCTTTGCTTCTCTTGTTCACTGATTTTTTCATCTTCATACAGCTAGTTTTATACTAATGAACTTGCCCTGTAAGATCAGCTGCCGCCCTTATGCTGTTGTTTTTTCCAGCCTCTAATGGTGTACTCACAATAGGTTTAGTGCAGTGGATTTCTTTCCTCCACCTTTACTTAAGGGCTTGCAAATGCTTTATTATGAGAACTATTTCAATGTCTAAACTATTTTTGGAATATATGACATATTAAAGTAAGCCAAAGCCTGAACCTCATTAGGAGA